ATTAAATCTTAAAAAGCTAAAAGATAGAGTATTTAACATTTCATAAAAAGTTCTCTCAACCTCTAAAAGCTACTCCCTCCGTCCCAAAAAGATAGTCCATATTTTCTTTTTTGGTTTGTCCCAAAATATAGTCCATTTTCCTTTTTTGTATTATAGTTAATCCTTAAATTGTCTATTATATCCTTATTAAAATTTATCTTATTTTCAATAACTCTCATCAATTCTTAGTTATTATTCCAATATAACAATCGTTCATGTGTTATTTAAGATGGGCATAATAGGAAAGTTATATAAATAAAATTGTCATTTAGCCATAATAATTGCTATTTTCTTAATCTGTGTGAAAATAGAAATTAGACTATTTTTTTAGGACGAAAGAAGTATTATAAAAACTATATTACTGAATAATATGATTAATAGAAATTTAATTTTGACTTGATCAAAACGCTAAAAAATTAGTTTAAAAGCAGTTGTTAAACAATACCTTAATAGAAGTGATTTATAAGATTAGAGGTTTGAAACTTGAAGTTTGCACTACTCGCATGGTTTTATTTGAATACTGCTCCAGTTAAGTGAACATAAATCTAAGAAAAAATTTGTTATTTTTTTCCTGTGATTTTTCAAAATTAACTAATCTATTCTAGTGTTTTTGAAAATACATTAATTTTTCCTATGTTTTGCATCAATTACATTACACTAATATGTTATCATGTTAATTTTTTTTAGTTTTTTTTTTTCGTTTGATGCCTTATGTGAAGATGAAAATATTATTTTACTTAAACCAAAATCAATAATTTATCATTGTAAATATTATTATTACATCCTTATATTTTATCAATATTCACTTTATCTATACATTTAACAAAATAGTTAATTTTAGCAAAATACAAATACATAATAGCAATTTTTCCCAACCCTAATTTGCTCAAGAAAAAGAATAAATTTAAACATTATAAAATAATAAAAAACTAACAATAAAAAAAAAAAAAAAACCACTGGTCTGAAAGAAACCAAAGTGACTCTAACCAAAGATATAAAATAAATAAATAAAGAAAAGTATAAAAAGTTTCTAGATAGAAAATCGAGAACCCTAGGAAATAAGTAAGCAGGCATAATAATTGCAGAGTAATTATCCCCTACATATTTATCATGACAACCATGATTTTAAGTTAACGGTAAAAAAAAAAAAAGGTATGAGGTATTAAAAATATTCTTATAAAAGGTATTTCTCTAAAGCATTAGCTAAATATTTCCGGAACTTCTTATAACTTATTAATCTCTTTTATTTTAATGTCTTAATATAATTAGTTATGTACCTGCGGATTGTATATTTTTCTGTTTTTTAATTAAATTGAATATAATTTTCAAAAAAAAATTGTAATTTGTATTTGTGTTATTTTAATTTAAATAATTTGTTTATGTATTTTTAATTTTCTGTTTTTTAATTAAATTGAATATAATTTTCAAAAAAAAATTGTAATTTGTATTTGTGTTATTTTAATTTAAATAATTTGTTTATGTATTTTTATTAGATGACAAAAGGTAAAACTATATGCTCTTTTTGAAATTCTCAACTAATGAATTAAAATATTAATTAGCATAATTAGTTACTGTAAGTAAATTATTGTAATTCAATTGATATATTTAGTTAATTATTTATTTTTTTGTTTTTAAAATTATCATATATTCAAATTAAATGAGGTATAAAAACATTTAATTTTAATAAAGTAAGTTTTAGTGAATTGAAATTAATATTTAATTCTATTTGTTAATCTAACTATATTATTTAATTAATTTTTATTAACTATAACACCCTATTATAATTCAGTGGAGGTTTTTTTGTATAGAATAAAAAATTATTTAATTAATTTTTATTAACTATAACCCTATTATAAATTCATTAGTTTTTTTGTATAGAATAAAAACTATTTAATAAAAAACTTAATATTTATCAAATGTAAAAATTTATTAAGTATAATGAAATTTTCTATTAGATTTATTAGTTGTGGCTCCATTATTTAATAAAATAATTTTAATTTTTTATTAAATACAAAAAAATTTAATTATAATGATAAAATAAAATGTCTCATCATCACTTGCATGTTACCACTTAAACATTTATGTCTTAAAAATTATATTTAAAATATAATATAAGATATATATATATATATATTTTTTTTTGGTTTTTTTAGGATTTACATCGCTTATACAAAAATTTTTAAGATTTTCTTCTTACCTATTAGCTCCTTTAACTATGGCATCTAGGTTTGAAAGAGGAAGATTTTTTCTTTCTTCTTTCTTTGTTTTCTTTTTAATTTAGTAAAAATACCATTTAATTTTTACCATATTTATTTAATTTCAATTTGTAAATTCATTCGTATTTTGAAGATAAGACTAAATCTTAATTATATAGATGTTTGAACGATTTTCATAATACATGTTGAAAAAATTATATGTTTAATATTATTCATCTGTAAATTAATTATAAATATTTTAGCACGCAATTGTTATATTTATTAAGAAAAAAAGTCAGTTAAAACCAACATTTGCTTCTATAATTTCTATTATTATTGATTTAGTTTTCTTTTTTATTAAAATACATTTAGGGGTGTATTGGATTAACAGTTTGTTAGATTTAAAAATTTAATGATATTCAATTCAAATTTTTAAAGTCTATTAAAATTTTGTGGTATTAAATTTAAACTCTTATAAAATCCCTAAAAATTTAATAGCATTCAATTTTGACTTTTTAACATACAAATTTGATGGTATTCAAAAAATTCCTTATTTGGAAGGATTTTATAAACTTATTGCTTTCGTTGGATTTAAAGTGCTAATTATTAATAAGAAAGTCATTTACAAATCCATCCTTCAACTCAAAGATTTAAATAATCTTTTAAAATCCAACAGAGTTTTGATCTAATACATCCTTAATAGAGATGAAAGTGCGGCGAGTTTTCGTAAATTTTAAACTTGTATAGGTATTCGTTTAAAATTTTACTACATGTATCTATTCTAAACCGTTTAAATACTCATATTCAAACACGTTTAAATTTTTACTACTCGTATTTGTTCAAAACTCGTTTAAAGGACCTCTTAAATGGGTAACGTATCTGCAAATTTTGAACTATCCAAATTCGAACTTATGAAAATATATTTTTACTAATAATGGATAGAGTACTCACGGGCACCCACTACCAAACCCGTTTAATATAGCGGTGAACGGCTGGCGAGTATCTAAAGATCTATAGTCGTATCATACCCTATCTGCTATGGATAGTAATTTTACTATCCATATCTGTTCCAAACTTTTTTATAGCTATGCATATCCTCTTTAATTGAATCGGAGCGAAGAGAGTATCCTAAAATATCCGTACTACTTCTATCCCTACTCCTTAAGGTGTAAGGAGTCTCGAATTGATTCATGTACTGAGAATTTGATATTTTCAATTTTTCAATTGTCTCCAAAACCTTTTAATTTGTTCAATTAGGTCTTAAAATTAATTTTGATTGGATATATAAAAATTATTATAATTTCATCAGAGTCAATCAAAATCTATAAAAAAATTCTACAAATTCCATAAAACTCTATGTAGAATTCTAGTGGAATCTGTAAAAATCTTAAGAAATTCTTCAATTCCGTCAAATTCAACAGTTCTTTTAAAACCTAATACAATCCTAATTCAATACACCCCTTAGTATGAGGAACATACCCTTCTTTATGCAATGCATATTTTAAGAATGTTTTATAAGTAAAACTTATTATTTAAACTTTGTTATCACTGCAGATGTTTGGAGAGAAGTGTTATTAGAGGTTTTATTAATGAAATGTCAACTTAAATTAAATACTTAGAATTAAATTTGTTTTCTTAAAAAAACAAATAAACAAATAAATAAAATGGTTAAACATTCAATAAAATTATGATCCGTTTGATATAGTAATTGTTGTTTTTCATTTTCATTTCTCAATATAAAATAAAATCTGTAGTTTAAAATATTCAGAACAAGAGAAAACATAAATAATAAATTTCGTTTGTTTCATCAATTTATTTTCCAAAAAACTAAAATTATAATATAAAAAATATAAAAATGTTTAATGATTTTTTGTTAATTATAAAAATAGAGAAGGAATGAGTTAAAACCGCATAATATGATAATAATGACAATAAAAACCGCAAAAAAAAAAAAAAAATGTGAGCATATAAACATAAACGTTAGAAAAGATGATACTCTTCCCAAATAGAAAATAATATCCGAAACATCATCATTTGCTTCATATATTAACTTCAACTTTTTAAAGACTAAAGTCCAGTGCTCTTCTTTATGCAAAAAAAAAAAAAAAAAAAAAAAAAAAAGTGCTCTTCTTTATGCAAAAAAAAAAAAAAAAAAAAAAAAAAAAAAAAAAAAAAAAAAAAAAAAAAAAGGTCCAGTGCTCTTCTTATGCCTCTTCCACGACCCTGCAAAACACTCAAAATTTTTTATTTTATTTTATTTTAAATTAAGTTACTGATTTCTGACTTATTTTTTAGGTTAATTGGAAACCAAATTAAATAAAAATAAAATGACAGCTGTGGTATCCATCTGGCTTTTTTTGCCTTCATTGATTCATTTTATTTAGTGGTTAGTACTCTTAAAAATAAAATCCTTGAGGGTCCTTCTTTAGGAAGCTTTTGTTATACCTTTAATTCTTTTTCTCCTTATCCCTTTAACACACACACACACACACTCTCTCTCTCTCATATGATTAATATATCCACAGGTAACTGTCGGTGGAACAGTAGCACAGGCATCCTATGCACATCGCTGTCCTTCCTTTCCTCCATTATCTCCTTAATATTGTTTCACTTAACATTGTCTCTCCACTTTCCACCTTAAACCTAACCTTACCCATCAAAACACTTTTGCTGCATTTAATTCTTGACACTGTCTCTTTCTTTCTCTGCCTCTCTTTCATATATATATTTCAATATATATATATATATAATATATATATATATATATATATATATATGCCTCTACTTATATATATATGCCTCTACTGCTTGGTGATAAGGGAAATAATGGTGGATGGATGATCTGTTTCACTGTCGACAGCTTCTTGCTAGCTAGCTAAGCTAGGCCATGGTGAGAAACTATTCAACTATATGCTACTCTACTATAATACAAGTTGTGTTTTCTTTTGCATTTTAGGTTTGGATAGCAGCTTTTATACTGTGAAGTGAAGTAAGTTTGGATTTGATATTGTCTGAACAAAATATCTGTTCATTTATGCCTTTAACTTAGAATAGAATGATTTTGGTCCATTTATTTATTAATTATTAATTGATTTTTTCTTTTTTTTTTCTTGCCATTAAGTAGATAGATATTTATTTATTTTTTCCTTTATAATAGATATTTATTGTAAAAGTTTAATGTTCTGCAATTTATTAATTCACATTGGTTTAAGTAATGTAACTTGACTTTTTTTTTTTTTTTTTTTTTTAATTTTTTTAAAATTTTCCTAAATTTTTTTTTTTTTTTTTTTTTTAAATTTTCTAAATAAGGTTTTGTTCTCCTCCATTTATGAGCCATGTTATCTTAAAACATACTGTCATGTGTTTAGGTCTTTTATTAAATTTTGGTTAGAGATTGTTAAATTTTGTTTTTAAAGTGAATTTCAAATGTTTTGTTTATAAAATTTTTTAAAACAATTGAATAAAGCTCCAAATTGTTTATATATTGAGACTTCTTTTTTTTTTGATTCCTCATACTAAAAAAATAATTGTAGTATTATTAAATATTTTTCAGTCGATAATTTAATTTTTGAATAACAATTATACAATTAACTTTTAATAAATTTTAATATGTACATGATAATTTATATTTTAAATTTAAATTTATGAAAAACGTGTTAATACAAAAACATGTGTACTTACTTTGCACGTGCTAAAAAGATTAGTATTATATAAAATAATCACTCTACCTAGAAGTTTAAGTTTATACTGTTTGCTGTAGGTGTATGTAGAAAGGTACGGTGACCCGGTTTACAAAGTATTAAATATTTATACACACCGAAGAGAATTGATGTATGCAATCTATCCATTTATCTCCACTTGTTGCAAAAACACTATAGTTAGAGGTGAGCATTCATTTGATGGAATTCAACCAAATTGAATTAGCTCAATTTCAATCCAATCAATGTATTTTTATGGTAACTAAATCCGGATTTGAATGGTATAAAAATTAATTCACTCCACTCAATGTAGATTCGATTATTCAAACTAAATTAGTTATTTTTAGCTTAAAAATAAATAAATTTAATTAGTTATATACGATAACCCCGATAACCGATAAATTCGGTCTCCAAACTTATTGCTGACCCCTACTTAGTGTCTCCAAACAATGACTTTTAGGTCAGAATATATCATAATAATGCACAATTATGCTTGAATTAGAGACAAATTTTAAGATATTTACAGTCATGATGTCTAATCAAGCAAAGAATAATGTACTTTTTTTTATTCTTATTTATCTAATTGCATGTTGTTACTTTATAAAAGTGCAATCTGCATATTTTACATCCCTAGATTTGATTTTTAAATATTATTGATGGTTACCTTATAATCTGAACAGCCAAACAAGTGTCATGCACTACTTCTGTGGCTTAACTGCATTGGACTGCCTCTGCCTGCCATTATTTGAATACCATCTGTTTGTATGAAACCATGGGTCGTTTCTTATAGCTGTTTTGTGCATTTCTTAACCATAATTTTGCATATAAATGTTGAAGCTTAACCATTGAGAATCAATCTTCAACTGTTAGACTCCCTCTGCTCTGTTTTCATTTTACTAGTGGGTATTTCTAGTTTAAGAACAGTTCTTGTTTATTGATTAGTGTTAATTGTCAAATTTTTGTTATGAGTAGAAAGTGAAAGAAACAATGGACAACAAGTCATGGCTTTGGAGGAAAAAATCTTCAGAAAAGACAATTATTGCAACAAACAAATTTGGCATTTCTTTGAAAGAAACTGATGAAGAGGTAACAAAAGCTTTCTTTCTCTATTTTTTTTTTTTTTTTTTTTTTAAGCTTTCTTTCTCTATTTTTTTTTTTTTTTTTTCGTTTATTGATTATTTTTGATGAATCACATATCAATTTTTGGAATGATGAGAAATATTAGTTTTTATTGATAGATTTCTTACTGATTGATTTTGTTAGACACAAAAATTCCAATGGCAAATGAAGTAGATCAGTTAGAGTTTGCAAGAAATTGAATTGGAAAAGTTAGCCTTCAGTGCTTCTTGATTCTCATGGAAAAGATTGATCTGCCGATTTGAACAAAGAAACTTTAGCACAAGAAGGGTGGTTGTTTTTTTTTTTTTTTTTTGTTTATTGATTAATTTGATGAATCACATATCAATTTGAATTGATGGAGAATATTAGTTTTATTGATTAATTTCTACTGATTGATTTTGTTAGACACAAAAATTTCCAATGGCAAATGAAGTAGGATCAGTTAGAGTTGCAAGAAATTTGAATGAAAAGTTAGCTTCAGTGCTTCTTGATTCTCATGGAAAAGATGATCTTGCGATGAAACAAGAAACTTTAGCACAAGAAGGTGTTGCAGGTAATTTTTTATCATTCTCCATCTTTAGATTTTCAATATGGTTTTAGCTAAACAAAATAAGCATATAAATTCCCTTGTAGGCCAGCAGAAAGCAGAATCAGAAGTCATATGCCTAAGGAAAGAACTGGATGAAGTTTTAAAGCAATGCAAGCAGCAGCTGAGCTCCTCACAAGCAGAACAAGAGCAAAAGATAAATGATGCTGTGATGAAGGCAAAAGGTGAATTTGAGAGGACACACAAGAATTTAGAAGAAAAGTTGACGGAGAAGAACAAAAAGCTTGCAAGTTTAGCCATTGAGAATACAAATTTGAGTAATGCTCTTCTACTTAAAGAGAAATTGGTTGAAGAAATGCATAAAAACCTGTCTCGAACAGAAGCAGAAGTCAATGCACTAATGACTAGATTAGATTCTACAGAAAAAGAGAATACTTTTCTAAGATATGAGTTTCACATGCTTGAGAAAGAGCTTGAGGTTCGTAATGAGGAAATGGAGTATACTCGTCGGTCTGCTGAAGCATCACATAGGCAGAATCTAGAAAGTGTTAGGAAAATCTCAAAGTTAGAAGCAGAATGCCAAAGGCTCCGCGTTTTAATGCGTAAAAAGCTTCCAGGTCCTGCTGCTTTGGCAAAAATGAGAAATGAAGTTGAGATTCATGGGAAGGATCAAATGGAATTAAGAAGAAAACCAAATCCCACAAGAGAATTGGTGCTTACGGACAGTAAAATGGAAAGATCACCTGAAATTCCTGTTAAGAACATTAATTTTCTGATTGAGCAACTACGCGGTATGGAAGAAGAAAATAGAACTCTGAAAGAAATACTTGGGAGGAAAAACGCTGAACTCAGATCATCGAGGATTATGTATTCAAGAACTGCTTCAAAGTTATCACAGGTTGAGGCTCAGCTTCCAGAGGTTTCTGGAGGACAAAGATGTATGGATTTGGCAAAGCTCAAGAGCCCATTTGCAGGTTTCGACATTGGCAGTGATGATGGAGTTAGCTCTTCTGGATCATGGGCCAATGCTTTAATCTCTGAATTGGAGCATTTCAGAGATGCAAGATTCAAGAGTCCATCAGAAGGCAAATCAGACATGAGTTTAATGGATGATTTTGTAGAGATGGAGAAATTAGCTTTAGTATCTTCTGCAGGCTCTAATCATTCTGTCTCTGATGGTAAGGAACTAGTTCCAGTAAATGATAAACAGGAGATATGCTCAAAAGATAAATCTTTTGATTGGCTTCAAGAGGTTTTAAGTGCAATCTTTAAACAACAGCGCATTTCAAAACGAAGTCCAACGGAACTTCTTGAGGACATTAAGATTGCCCTTGGTTATATAAATCAGTCAAGCATCCCTGAAGCTGATACAGCAGCAATGTCTCCAAACATCGATTCATTGATCGAAGCTTCGGGTGTTGACTCCTCACTGAAAGAAAGAAGCAAGCTGAGTAAGACAATCTGCAAGATTATTCAGTTGATTGAAGGAATCAATCCAATGCCTCAACTCTGCAATAGTACAATGGATAATATGTCGAAGAAGGAAGAAAGTTGCTCGCGTTCACCAATAGCTGCTGATTACTTTGTTCATGTTTTTCAATGGAAGGGTTCTGAACTAAGTGCTGTTCTACAACGGTTTGTTCATACTTGTAATGCTGTGTTGAATGGAAAAACCGATCTTCAAAGTCTAGCTGAGGAATTATCATTTACCTTAGACTGGATTCTGAACAACCATGTCAACCCCAAAGATGCTTCAAATGCAAGAGATAAGATCAAAAGGCATTTCAGTCAGAATGAATCACAAAGCGAAAATGAAGCTGGAGTAGATGTGGAGAAACCTTCAAGTTTGCCCTTGGTTGACCAAAACATTTCATCTCAAAGTAAATCCATACAGTATAATCTGCAAGAAGAGAATAAGAGACTGAAAGATGATCTTGAAGCTATGGACGGAAAGCTTCAGACTGCAATTGGCAAGAATGAGACTTTGATGAAACAACTTCAGGAATCAGAACAAAGCATCAAAAACTTACAAGTAGAGCTGGAAACTACAAAGGAATCAAAAGGAATCATTGAGGATCAGATGGAAAATCACAAGTGTATGAATGAAGATCTTGATACTCAGCTTACAGTTGCTAAAGCTAAATTGAATGAGGTTTTACAGAAGTTGTCATCTTTAGAAGTTGAATTGGAAGAAAAGAGTAACTGTTGTGAAGAATTAGAAGCTACTTGTCTTGAGCTTCAACTCCAGTTGGAAAGGTACTAGTTACTTTTTCTTCTTATCTCTTATAGATGTTAACTATGAGAAACATTTTTTGATTGAAAAGAAAGTTCTGATTCTTTAACAGTGTCGCAAAGAAAGAGACTATGAACCACAGCATTAATGGAGATGGAACACAATCCCAAAATGTAAGTTATTCCAGCTTATCTATATTGTTCATAGAGGAAATAAATTTTGATGCAAAGAATAAAATACTTGCAATCATCTTATTTTGCAGAGTTCAGAAATCACAGCAGCTTCTTTAAAGTTGGCAGAATGTCAAGAGACTATTCTTAACCTTGGAAAACAACTCAAGGCACTAGCTACACCAAGAGAAGAAGCACTACTTGATAAAGTATTCAAGACAAGTGTTTCCACAACAGCTAATAAGAACTTGAGTAAGCGATTCTCATTGCGCGATCAAATGATTGCTGAAGATCCCACCAAGGCAATCATTCTCAGATCTCCCATCAAAGATGGAAAATTCCAATCCAATAATAATGGCAATGCTTCAACTGCTACTAATGTAAAATCTGATTCAAAGCAAAAGGCTGACAATAATGCAGCAGTTGGAACTCTTGCTATTGTACCTTCTAAAAAACAAGGAGTTGGTTTCCTGAGGAGGTTACTAATGAGAAGAAAGGAAGCAGTAAAAAATCAAAAACCTCATTAGGAAAGGTATGACGGCTCTTGTTGCTGCTGCTACTGCTATTGATCAACAGTCTGATTGTTAAATATCTTCGATTTTCAGTTTTCTAAGCTTGAAAATTTGTGAGCATGATAGTTTGAGGCATCATATTGCTTCAACCCATTTTCTTTTTCCTTTTTTTTGGAGAGAAAGAGAGAGAGAGAGATAATCGCTTTTGAGTACTTATGTGTGTAAATATCTGGGTTTCAGGGATATAGAGTCTGTAGTGCGTCATCTGTAATATAGAAGAAGTGAAAATAACAGCTTACTGTGGTTTTTAGTATCAATCTACAAAACTGATGAGGCTGCCAGGACAGCATAAGCTCTGGCAATAATACCTTGGAAATTAGCATGAGAATCTTATCATTCAAAGGTCGCTTCCTATGTAGCACGGAAATGAAGAAATGTGGAAAAGTGGAAATAACACGGGGAATGACATTTAAAATATAATTTTACTTAGAGAAACGGTATTTTATATGAGGAAACAGATATGTAAAAACGTTTTCGAAATATGGAAATGTCCATGGCTATAAGTTTCCGTATATGGTAGATTGCTCCTACGAGTCTCTGTTATTGTTTTCCTTGCTTGGTTTTTGCTTAACTACATCTCCAGATTATAGATCCAGAGTCTAGAGATACAGTTCTATTCACCTGCTTAGATTGGAACTTACTTGACATCAAGTAAGTCAAAGATTGATTTGTTCATCCAAAAGACTGTTACAAAATGGAGTTCATGTCATTTGCAAATGAATGTTATAGGATTCATTTTAAATATATAGCATTAGTAGCCTGTACTTAGAATTCGTTAATTTCATTTTCTGATATCCTTCTGAGTTCAAAGTTCATTCACAAAATTTATTTCATCAATTTTTTCTAAAATTTAATTGAAATATTACCAATTTCATAAAATTAAAAATTATGAAATTCTGAATGAATTTTTATACGTACGAAACATGCAAATATGGACGAATTTCATGAACTTTTATAAAATTCATTTATAGCAGACAAACTTTTAGATAAAGGGATTGCGTTGTAGTTTTAATGCTCTCGCAAAACGTTAAAATTTATTCGCCATGACAAGGCTTTTCTCTTTCTTTCACAGGGTTGAGCATACTTCGATTAAACACAAACAGTTCAGTTCGATTTTTAAAGCCCAAAATCATAAAAAATAGTTAAAAATGGAACTGGTTCAGTTCGATTCCATTTAGTTTCCACTTAAAAAAAATTTTCAGTTTGTTCGGATCAATGCTCACCCCTATTATTTGTTTTGATATCCAATCACTTCAACTTTCTCAAACTTCCATACCAGAACTTGCTAGTCTATTTTATTAGGTAGAAGTAAGCAACTAACAATATGTATGCATAATTCCATCAACCAGACCACCTTTCTTTGTAACACAAAACCAAGAATCAGCTTGTCAATACTTCAAGAAAATATTCTGTTGCTCCTTTCTTTTTTTTTTTTTAAAAAAAAAGGAATCCAAGTGTCAAATTTCATATAGCTATATTACAAAAACTCAACAGGAACGCCCAAAAGAACCAATAGATACACAAACCGAAGAATGAAGACAATAGTAGGGACTTCCCAGCCATGAAGCATAGTCCTCACCTCCAATTGATTATCAATCTTCATACAGTATAAACTTTGCAATATCAGCAAATCCAGCCTCCTTATAACATTCAGCAATTCGCTCTGTAACTTCACCCCATGTTCCTTCAATAGAAGCTAAATCCATTAAAAAGGCAGCTTCATCCAATGCAATCTACATGACAAATCAGTTTGAGCATTTTATACCACACTATAAGACTTCAACAAGTTTTCTTCTAATGAAGTTGAGCAATTTGTCAATCCAATAAGAAAAATCTCTCAATTTGTTACCTGTGCAAGTGCCTTTCCCTTTTTCAAATCTTCTTGTCTACCTTTGTCAGTTATCTTCTCCTTGATATATTCAATTTGCTCATCCTCCCATTGCGCAATGCTTGCTACTTCCTTATCAAGATTAATCATTGTCAGAATGCCATAAAAGAAAAGCGGAAGGATAGAATATGAAAATGACTATCCAACAAGACAATGCAGATGGATTAAGGGTCAAATACCTCGTATGCGCAACCTAGAGTCCACCATGGTGATTTCAAAGCTACCCTTGCAGCATCTTTAGCTTCCGAGATACGTCCAACTCTGCAAGTAGTAATCCGTAATATTTGCTTGAGAAATGATAAAGTAAAATGAACTAATTGAATGGGAAAATGATGGATGAGATTTGTACAAACTTCTTCAAAACCTCTGCATAGAACACAAAAGGCCGTCCAAATCCTGGAAATAGATCCTTTTTTGTATAAAATTCTCCTGTCACCATCGCTGAAACCTACAACTTACAAGTATATGCGAAATGCTAAGAAAATGGCAATGACATACTAGCACATAAGAACCAAAATCAGAAACTACTCACGTGGTCCTCTTGCTCAAAATGGCACGTAACTTTGCGCTCTAAGAGATCTGGGAATAGTCCAACCTGCGAGAATAACTATTAGTTGTTTCTAAGCATCAACCGGATTCATCTGCTAGAGCCACTTACAAAACTGTCTCTCTACCTTTTTAAGAATATACAGGTCAAGATTTGCAATCTGAGATTCAGCAAAATCACCCCTTCTATATAATTTCTCACCAGCTTCTGAAGAAGCATCATAGAGTCTACCACCACTGAAGTTGTTGGCATCTTCTTCAACCAGAATCCTGTGCATATATTGATCCACCTGCATTGCCACCATTGTAATATAAGATTTCCTTGTTTGCAGGAAATTAAAACAAACTTTGAGAGAGAGTATTTTCATGTTTAAGAATTTTCCAACCATTCCCAACACCCGAAAAAATACATCAATACATAAAGGGGAAAACGTGGAACTGCCAAGGTGCAGATAATATAATGTAATGTATCAAGTGCACATAATTGTATAATATAGCTCATGCAATTATGCATATCTATATATGCTCTCAGTTTAATGTATTACATTCTTGGCTAAAAGCCAGACCCCATGCTTGCGAACTTCCACAACTGGCATCTCCATTCTGTGTGAATACCAATAGTTGCATGAAGATAAATAATGGGGAAAAGAACTTTGCGATAAAAATATATTGGAATGAATTCAAATGCATACAATAGGACATTAGAATATAAACCTTACCCAGGTGGAGCTGTTGGCCACCGCAGCAATGCTGTTATGGAACCTGCTGGCAAATATATAAATGATAAACTGAGAGTTCTCACACAGATGCCCATGATCATGAGCATATTATTAAGTTGGTAATAGAACTGCTCCCGACTTGTGAATATATTATCATAAAAGGATAAGATGTTTATCTAACCTGACAGATTTTCTGAAAGGGGAATTACAAGGGGGATAAGTCCTTTTCTGGATCCAGGAGAAATGACGGTTTCACCTGTAACCAAAAAACATAACATACAGTAGCAATTAATAAATGATTGTGTAAAAAACACAAGGTAGTAGGGTTGTGGAGTCTTTTCTCTAATTGCAGAAGAAATTGCAGAACCTGAGAAGACAATAGAAGTTATGTTCTATGATTACGGGTTACTTCTTTTTTACAGACAGATGTAGAAAGAGATGAAACAATATTTCATACTAAAATAACCACAATCGCAGGAGAAAATCACTTTATCAATCATAAGTAGATATTATAGCGCTATAAATAGAGCAAAATAAGCACCATGTAAGAAGCAGACCCGGGTATTCCACAAAACCATGTTAAATATTAGTTTAACTAAATTCAAACCATGAAGGTAGAGTGAGCAAACAAAAAAAATATTTTCCAAACGACAATGGAAAGGTATGCCAAACCACTTAAACATAAAGTAATCAGAACATCAACATTTTAGCGAAGCAACTGGCAAGGGGAGAAAGAATAATGAAAACTGAAGACCTATCCACTTAGAGAACATTGCATGCCGAAACTAATCAAGCATTCACATCAAAGAAATTAAAGCGTAGTTATCCTGAACCACAGTAAAAATATACCCATAATCACGCAATTCATCATGAAATAAAGAAAAACAATACCGTTAGAATTTTGGAAGCAAAAAGTTATTAAAATAAGTTACATGACAAAGATACCTCTGGTCTGTAGGACTTTGAGCAAGTGATGAAGATGCTCAGGAGGTTGAGTTGCAGCTACATCCTTGATAAATGACACATGGCCTGCATTTGAATTTGCAAACAGTCTAATGATATAGTTAACAAATAGTCAATAATAACATAATTAATCACAAGTAAACTTAGAGCTAGATAATCAATTATTTGCCAATTTATGGTTTCAAAATTATAAGGATGAACTGAAAGTTGTAAATTAAACTACATTAATTGGAACACTCAATTAATTAATACCAAATTTGATCAGAAAATAATGCACAAACTAGAAATTGGATGGTTTTAATTTCCCCAATCAATTGAATTATTGGGTTTTGATTTTTCAAATATTCCATCTGAAACAACCCAATGCAACCCACCATTCAATTTAAAACAAGTTCAACAACCCAGTAGATTAATTTGTAATGTAAATGGAACCATTGTATTTAATAATCCAAAAACTCTAACCCATTATTCATTTTCTGTCTTCATTTTCATTATGAAAAACAGAAACGAGATTAGAAAAAGAAAGAAGACGACGAGCGATTATTATGTTACCAGAAGAAGAGAAGCATCTAACCCTGGGTCTAACGTGGCGAAGAGAGAGTGCGGTAGTTGGAGGGGTTCTGTGCACCACTCCCAACAATCCTATCTTCATTTTAGTTCAGCTTCACCTTGAAAGGATAATTCTCACCAACCGGATTGCCAACTGATTTTCTGCTTATTTGGTTCACAGGATAAGAAGGAGCACGACCCTCTATATTCCCTGCGTAACGGGAGCCATGAGATTTTTCTTTAAAATATATCCCTCCGTCCCATTTGACAAAGCACGTATTAAAAACTTAAATTTAGCTCATAAAAATTATTTTATTCTTTTTTTTTACTGTTCAATTATTAATATTATCATATATTAATAAAAAGCCTTTCGTTCATCCCTGTTATGATAGAAAAAAAAAATTATATACATATATAAATTTAAAAATTTTACAAATATTTTGAGACATCCTAAAAAAAATAATAAATAAATAAAATGGAACGAAGGAAATAATAATTAAATATTATAGGAATTTATTCAAATTTTAAAATTACTATTATTCTTTCTCTTACACATATTTTCATTTTTATAACAGTTAACTAATTAAATATTATGAGAATTTATTCAAATTTTAAAATTATTATTATTTTTTCTCTTACACATATTTTTCATTTATAACAATTAACTAAATTCCTAAAAAAATGATTAACTAAATTTAATTTTTATTAAACAGTAAGTCCATAATAATTTGTGAATTTCTATTTCAGCAAAAAAATAAAATTTTAATTAATATTTTGTACAAAATTATTAAATTTCACTTATCATACTCTTTTTTTTTTTTTTTTTTAAGTTTCACTAATCATACCATTGGATATTTAGGTGGAGTAATTCATTTAAAATACCCTCACCTTTGCGGATTATAATAATTACACTCTAAAACCTTTATGGATTATAATAATTACACTCTAAAACCACATTAACTCTCTGTACACTTTAATTTTAAACTTTTATAATAATCATACCCAATTTAAAATTTAAGTCTAAAAAATAATAAATAATAGGAATAATGAAACCCACTCCCGCCACTCATGTCAATTAAAACGCACCGCTCGTATAAAACAATCCAAACTCCTGAAATCGCCGATCTATCTCTTCTAACTCTCCTTCTCAACCGGAAACGAACGAGTATCCTTTGGCAACTTTTTTAACTGTTTTCAACCTCAAAATAATAAAACGACAACAAATCAACAACAATGAATCTCCTGTCCATTATTAACCAAGTTGTTGAACTTACGAGCAGTACTAAAGGTAAACACTCTATGGGCCAAGGTTGATATGTGGGCCATGTTCTCACCCTCATGGAAGACTTCTGTTGAAGATGCCTTTCTCTGCATTGGTGGATGGCGTCGAAATATGGCTTTTCATTTGCTTTATTTGAAATCCAGGTCGCAACTCGAGGCTTAACTCCATGATGTAAGCACCGGCCATTTGGCTGCTCTCATCGAGTCAACTCACTCGAGCGGATGAATTTTTAATGAAGCAGTATTAAGGAAGAGAAGATGACGAAAAAAATTATCTAAGCTCCAAAAGGCAGTGGCTGCAATGGTGGAGTTATCGGCTTATCGCAGGTGATTGAGAAAAAGTAGCAAAATGGACATGATTGACAAATTAGATTTTAGGGATTTTGGAAAGTGGGAGAGATGGATCTATTCAAGGCATAAGGGAGATGTGATTTGAGTTTTGGATTGTTTTATATCAAACGGTGCGTTTCATGTTTACTTGAGTTGGGTTACTTTTAACCATGTGTCAGCGGTGGATTCCATTATTCCTATTATTTTTTCATTTTTTAAACCCAAATTTTAAATTGGGGTAAAGTTATTACAAAAATTTCCTATTATTTTTTCATTTTTTAAACCCAAATTTTAAATTGGGGTAAAGTTATTACAAAAATTTCCTATTATTTTTTCATTTTTTAAACCCAAATTTTAAATTGGGGTAAAGTTATTACAAAAATTTCCTATTATTTTTTCATTTTTTAAACCCAAATTTTAAATTGGGGTAAAGTTATTACAAAAATTTCCTATTATTTTTTCATTTTTTAAACCCAAATTTTAAATTGGGGTAAAGTTATTACAAAAATTTTTTTATTTAAATAACTAATTAAAAAAAATTAACTACCTAATTGAATACATAAAAATAAAATTAAATGGAATACAATTAATTAAACACCCATAAAACAACTATTCCTTAAAACATAACTTTTCTAACATTTGGAATACAGCTTCCATGATAAATAACCTAGAAGTGTAGGTATGCCTTTACAAGTTTCTAATATTTGGTTAACATTTTTATTTATATTTCTTCATTCTATCTTAATTTGCTTTTGTTTCATGGAAAGATTACTGCTAGTCCAATATATATACGCCGTATAGGATTGATAATGAAATTTCAATAAGGATGGTAACTAAGATGTTTAATGAAATTTCAAAAAAAAAAAAAAAATATACAAATTGAGTTATGACTTACTTATAAGAGTCCAAATTTAAATATCTCTTAGTTCTTTATAAAAGATAGTTCGAGCAGTGAGAACTTTAAATTCAATAGGGAGGGAGGAATGGTCTACCATTCCTTCATCTTTTCTTTAAAGAAAAATAATTAATTTGTTCTTGAGGTTTGACCAAACTAATTAAGTCATTCAGTAGTTTGGCAATATTAATTAATGGTCCCCGAGCTTTATCTCTGTTAAATCATTTGATTCTTTTATCCATTTTCTCCAAATTTTCCGTTAAAACCTTTAAAAAAAGATTAAAATACCCTGACACTTAAGAAGGGTAAACAATTAATTCGTTCCTCAGGTTTGGCTAAACTAACAAGTCATTCCTGCAGTTTAATAATATTAATTAATAATCCCCGAGATTTATCTCTGTCAAACCATTTGGTCATTCCGTCCATTTTCTCCCGATTTTTTCATTAAAACCTTCAAAGAAAGACTAAAATACCCTGAGAATTAAGAAAAAAAAAGACTAAAAAATTAAACTATGTTAGAATTTTCATTTGTCGTAGAAGGAAAACGAAAAGTCAGGGTATACATTGATTATTTAATATTCACCCAAAAACAAAATTTTTTTTTATCAACATAATGTGTCACTTTACTGTCTAACCATAAATAGAGTGTCACTTTTACTGTCTTGAGGCCACCGACAAAAAAAGATGAAAAAGGAAACAAATATACCATCGAGTTAATTTCAATAAAAATTAATAGCATTGAGTTTTTAGATAATTAATATTCAAGAGAACAAGTTATTTTATATCTGATTTCCATTACAAAATTGAAGGTAGACCATAGGAATAGTAAAGAATATTTCAGAAAATAAAAAAGAATTTCACCAATTTTTGCAGAATTCCAATTTGTAAATTTATAAGACTTAAACTGTTCATTCTATTGTCTAAACAAATAAAACATAGGTATTAGTCCTTTTTTCTTCTTTAAGTGTAATGATTATTTTTAGTTTTTTTTAGGTATTAATATTCAAGAGAACAAGTTATTTTATATATTCCATTACAAAATGAAGGTAGGACCATAGGAATAGTAAGAATATTTTAGAAAATAAAAAAGAATTCACCATTTTTGCAGAATTCCAATTGTAAATTTGATAAGACTTAACTGTCATTCTATTGTTAAACAAATAACATAGGTTAGTTTAGTCTTTTTCTTCTTAAGTGTAATGATATTTTAGTCTTGTTTATTTTAGGTTTTAACAGAAAAATCAGGAGAAAATAAACAGAATGACCAAATGGTTTGACGAAGGTAAATCTCAGGGATCATTAATTAATATTGTTAAACTGCAGGGATGACTTAGTTAATTTGGTCAAACCTCAGAGATGAATTAATTATTTTCCATTCTTATGTGTTAGGGTATTTTAGTCTTTTTTAAAAGTTTTAATGGAAAAATCTGGAGAAAATAGATGGAAGGATCAAGTGGTTTGATGGAGGTAAATGTCGGAGATCATTAATTAATCTTACTAAACTGCAGGAATGACTTAGTTAGTTTCGTCAAACCTCAAGGACGAATTAATTATTTTCACTTTCTTTAATAAGTTTCTAGAGGAAAAATATGTAGATAGCTTTCAGACGTTTATGTTCGTAAAATCTTTTTAAGTAACTTTTAAAGTGTTTGATAACATAATATTTGAACTAATTTTTAGACGTTAAAATATCATTTTATAAAAAGTTAATTCATATACCGTTTAAATTTTAGATTTTATAAAAAGCTACTTAAATAGCTAACAGCTTTCAAAATAGTTAATTTTAGCGAAAAGAGTCGCTATCGAAGGCTTCCATTACACTTTTTTTCCAATTTCGATCAGAGTGGTGGAGATCGAAGCCCATTCTGCATGGACATGCACAACATCACATTTAACTTAAGAGGTGCAATGCGGAACATCTAATGTCGTTTTTAAGATGTGTCGTCTAACGACATCACTCAAAATGGTTTTGACAATCAAAGCAGATAGTTGCACTTGCATATGACCACCACAAGATTATTAGCTGATGTATTCAAATCCCACCTTATCGTTTTCTGTAAACAATTCAAAACTAACACCACTTTGGCATATAGTGGAAGGAAACACTTGCCTACATTAAGTATATATTAATAAAAATATTAAAAATATCTTATTGTACATTGAAAATTCAGAAATTCACGTACCATTCATCACAATCAACAGTAAATTTTTTTTATAGTAATTAATAAAAATAGCCCTCTTCTTAATTTTTCCTAGAGACACATTTGGTGGCTAAAGCTGCTTCCTTCATTTCAAGCAAGGAGTCCTCAAAACACTTTGCAAGAAATTCTGGGTCAGGAATAATGTCTTTGGCCACTCCAATTTGCATGTCAGCTCTACCTGCATAGCTCACCATGTGCATAGCTAGTGCCTAAATGCCACCAACCAATACAAAAACATAATTATGATAAATTAGAAATATAATTAACTTAATCATACAATTATAATTTTATTAGAATAATTAAACTAATTTCAAGAAATAAATCCCAAGAATTTTAGAGTTTAAAGGCAATACTTGAGGTAAGCTTGACGTGATACACCTCAAGAAAGTTATAGGGTTTCCTGCTATTGTAAGCTCCTCCTTTGGTCCAACCACATTTGAGATAACAAATGTAGTATTACAATGAATCCTGTAATTAAGCATTGAAGCAGCCTGCAATAGAATTATTATGATCTAATTAAATATTAATTAATAATTATGGATATGCAAAATCATTAATTAAGTATTTAATTTAATTATTTCACCTTAGGTCCCAACAAGGAGATTGCTAAATCTGCAACTTTAGATGAGAAGTAAGCCTCTAATGTTTGTTTCTTCAAGTCAATTAGGGCTTTAGCTCTCTTTACATATTGTAGAGGATCAATATTTGTTTGATAATAAGTGGGTAGGAGAAAAACACCAAGTTTGTTGCCTCGACGAGATCCTAAATTCTTTCTCATCGTCTCGATCAAATTCTGTATCCAATTTCAATTTCTCTAAGTAAAACATCTCTTTACGCTTTGTTTGGTAAGTCATAATAGAATGCAATGCAATGCAATCGAATGTATTCTTATATTACAAACGCATTCCGTTATAGTTTACCGAATCAGATCTTAATGTTATTATTTGATAATAGATTAATAATTCAATAATAATCTAATAATTAATCGGTATTTTTTTTTTTTGCTTAATTATTTTACTAAATAGAAATAAAATTCAATGATAAGAAGTAAAATTAAGAAAATATTTACCTGCAATGCTGATGTCTCTCTTAAATTAACCATGGCTACTCCTGTTATTTGTTGGCCATTTTCCAAAGCTAATTTACAAACAAAGAGATTAAACAAAAGTTAACTAAAGCATGTGATTGTTACAAAATTTACAATTAAAAGGTAGAAGATGCTAATTAAAATAAATATATTAAAGATAGGATTTTACAATTTGGTGATCTGTAATTCAAGTATCTTGAAAGCCCAGCTGATATCATTCCGAATAACACGTCATTGATTGTCTACATATTGTTCAACAAAATTAATTCTTGATGGTAACAAAGTAAATTAACTATAGCTTAATTTTGAAATTTATATTAAAACGAACACAAGTAATATTAATTAGAAAAATAGAAAACATATAATATTAATCTTCTTACTCAACACATGAAGTAAAGAAATTGACTACTAATTATATGGTCTACTTGTGTTTTTCGCTTTCTATAAGAATGCAGAAAATAAAAGATTTAGTATTCGTGCCTTCTCAATCATAAATTTTTTAACAATTTGATGAATTTCAATAGGGGTGAGCATATGTGAAAACTAATTGAAAATTGAAAATAGGAGTAACCGAACAGATTTCAATTCAGTTACGATTTTATACAGTTTTATTTATTCTATTGATGAGTTCGATTTTAATTGCTATTTTTTCCTTGTTTTAGATTTGATTTCATTCGATTTGAACAATTGCATATTCCTAAATTTAAAAAAGACACAGATCATACCATATATTCTACAAATTATTTCAGTTTCTTAAGTTTCCCGAACTGATAATGTTAGGAATGGTTAGACATCTACTACGCATTATCATAACTTTAATTCATACGCTTCATCACTAAACTTGCTTTACAGATAAACTACTGTTTATTTAACTATATTAAGAAAAAAAAATTATATAAAATAAGCAATAAACAATTAATTAACTCTTCTAAAACGAGGATTTACATTCTCCTAAAAGATAAAAACTTGATATAACAATAATGAATTGTAATGCATAAAATTTTCCTAACCAAAATGTTTTACTAATAATACTATCATAAATTATTATTTAGCAATATCATCAACATGCTGTTAAATATTTTGTAACATCATTTTATATTTTTTAACTAAAACAAACCTTAACCTATATTTCAAAGTAAGCCAATTAAGGATAAAAGGTGTTTGATATTATCTAATTATTTTTAAGTAGAAGGTAGAAATAAATATGAGTTGCACACCAAGGTATAGCCTAATGGTAAGTAAATATATATCTGACAATAGACCCATGTTCAAATTTCCTTCCCAATAGTCAAAAAGAAATAAATATGAGTATTTATAACGATAAAATATAAACAATAATAAGAATATCTGAAAATTATTTAAAACCTATAATTAATTATGAAAATGATTAAGAACCTCTAATTATGTTAAACCAATTTTTCTTTAAGAAAAAAAAAGAGAACAATAACATATATATGTATACACACTTTACCGCATTAGCAATAGCCTCTTTTACTATTTTCATGTCCTCAATGTAGAACTTAGCAGTAGCCACTTTCCTCGGCCAAAACTCCACCCCTTCACCACCGGAAATCACCGTCTTCCGGTCACAAGCCCACAAACACCTCAATACTAACTGAGAACAGAAAACAAAACTAAACCAAACCGTTTTAAAAAATCCAACCAAAACCTCTCTCCAATTCTTCCCTTTCTCTCTCCTCCAATTCTTCCGGCCACCAGCAACCAGGGTGGGCGCGGCCTCTGGATCCTCCGCCTTTTTGCACATACCCAACAACATTGACATCACCGTGATGCCATCACCGAGCGCGTGATGGAGCCTAAATATCGCGCATTTCTGCTCCATCATAACGTGCACTTCCCATAAAGGCTTATCAGTGCTTAACGGACTACTAATTGATAGTTCTGCTAAATAGTCGTTAACTATTTTCTCCACGTCATCATCACCGGCGGCCGGAGAAGCCATAGGAGTGTCGACAAGGATAACATGTTTGTCTATGTCGATCTCTGTTCTTCTCCAGTGCTCCAATCCATTCTTGTCGTGGACAAGAAGACTGCAAAATCTTGGGTTACGGCACATGAGGGAGTTTTTTATGGTTGTTTTTATAGTGTCAATGTCCATGTGGTGTTTAACGCCAAGTACACAGTGGACTATGGTGTTTGCCTCTGGCCGGAGGAATAATCGGCCGGCTGGAGTGAGTGGCTCGTCGGGAACATTTACAGGTGAAGCCATTTTTAGTTAGGTCAGAAAGTAGGATTATTGTTTAGTTTGTTGCAATGAGGGCCTGTGAAGGATATGAAGCTGTTATATTGCGTATTAATTAAGTATATGAAGGAAACGTTAAAGCATAAAATGCAGGGTGTTGTGTTCATGCTTTTGATTCAGTGTTGTATTGCGTAACGTGCGTACTCTTATATATATATATTGCATATTTTAATGATTTGTACAAAACAAATTTATAAATTATTACATGAATAATTCAAATCGAACCGTTTTATGAAGCTTTCAAATCAACCGAACTTATGATGTAAGTCCTTTTCGGCAATTGGTTTTCATGTAGCATTTAATATCCATTTGCATAGCATTTATACCGATCGGAATTATGAAATATTAATTTCTTGATAAAAAATTAGTAAAATAGCTGATAACTTTTAGAACATTTAGTTGCTAAAACTACTAATTCTGTCAAGCAGGTCATTCAATTGGCAGTTTGAAAAAATTAATTTAAAAAAAAATTTCTTAATTTTAATCTAACCTTTAAAATAAAATAAAAGGTGTGAGATTTTGGCCAATTAATAGTAATAAATTAAATTTTACATAATTTCATTTTTACACATTAAATTTAAATTCTCTCTTTATTTGGATATTTGCAATTAATAAAAATCTAAATAATTAGGATCATTAAATTTAAATTTGCAGGCAACATGTTAGTTGAATCAAAATAACCAAATTGCAACTTTGTTGTTGTCATCTAAAACATGTGAAATAGCCACAAAAATATACTGATCACATTTTCTTTTTTTTTTTTTTTAATATGGGGTTCGAATCTGGATTAATTGTTAGATCGTATATGCATTTAATTTCTATTAGACTATATTGTGTGCTATTGAAATTGAATTGTAACAAAATAAATTTTGGAATCAAATATAACTATTCGATTTGAATTGATTAGGTTAGAAATGTTTAGTTTTCGGTAGACATTACTTATTTAATTATTTTACTGTAACCAAATCAAGAACTGAGTCCAAGATTATTAAACTAAATAATCAAATTATGTTAGTAAAATTAATGGACGAACCTATTTCAAAAGGAGGAAGGCATACACTTTTGTAGGTGGTTCAATATTAAAACAAGGTAGACTCTGATACTATCTCCTAATTAGGATTATCCAAATTTTATATTTTCTATTTAATACCTTATTCCAAATCAAGGTGAGATAATAAATAGAAATATCAAATTAAATCGGTTTGGTTTTTCATTCTTACCAAATTTTGCTCATCTTTAACCCTATCTCTTTTGACCATTGACCACAGATAATAAACTGAAACAATGATTTATGCTTAAAGTCAAAATTTGCTCTTTTTATTCTCCAAAAAAAAAAAAAAAAGAAAAAAAAATTATCTCCTAATTAGGAATTATCCAAATTTTATATTTTCTATTTTAATACCTTATTCCAAATCAAGGTGAGATAATAAAATTAGAAATATCAAATTAAATCGTTTGGTTTTCATTCTTTTACCAAATTTTGCCTCATTCTTTAACCCTATCTCTTTTGACCATTTGACCACAAGATAATAAAAACTGAAACAATGATTTTTATGCTTAAAGTCAAATTTGCTCTTTCTATCTTCCAAAAAAACACAAAAAAAAGAGGAAAAAAAAAACTTTGCACTTAGGTTTCGTTAAACTAATATATGTCGGCCCCAAATTATACCTTTTTGGACTTCTAACTTTGACTTGTGGCTCTACCGTACATTTTGAGCCTTAGCAGGATTTAAGGTTCAATATATAAATAGAAAGCTAACCAGTTTGACAAGAAGTAGGTTAGAAACATCAGATGCTGGATAGCGTTTACCAAAAAAAAAAAAAAAAGAAAAAAAAAACTTGCACTTAGGTTTCTAAACTAATGTCGGCCCAAATTTTTATACCTTTTTGGGCTCTACTTGACTTGGGCTCTACCGTACATTTGAGCCTTAGCAGATTTAAGGTTCAATATATAAATAGAAAGCTACCAGTTTGACAAGAAAGTAGGTAGAAACATCAATGCTGGATAGCGTTTACCTACATTTAACGTGTAACTCGTCCATACGCCAAACGATCAACTAAAGACATATACGACAAGTGAGAATATTATTGAACATTCGTTGGACGAAAAAAGTTTTAAATAATTAAAATTTTTGACTTAATATGTAAATTTGATCATATTCTTTCAGTAATTATTTTTATGGCTTTCTAAATTTTGCAAGGACCTGTTATGACATTACAATTAATTTATACAATTAATATGGCCAAGTTAGATTTTTTAACTATTAATCTTGCTGAGTTAGATTTTTTTTTTTGCAAAAAATACGATATAACCCCTGTAGTTTGTGAAATACAATTAGTCCATCTTTATCTTTTTTAAAATATACTCATTTATTCTTATATTTGTTTCATTATACTATTAGGTCTTTCTATCTAATTTTTACATATTTTCAAGTTAAGTCAACAAGAAAACACAAAGGTCAAATGAGCGATACTAAAATATTATACATTGAAAAATTACGGTTATTAAAAAATAAATTTAAAAAATATAAAACTTAAAATTTTGAAATTTTTAATTATCTATATATATTTATTTAAAAAATAATCTTTATAAATTGTATACAATCAACTAATAAACGGTAATTTTTTAATTGATTATCATTAAGGATATTTTAGGACATTTTAAATTTCATTAAGGATAATATTAGAAATCTCATTATTCCCAGTTCCACAACTTTAGGACTATTCTTAATGAATTAATTTTTTAAACATTAAAAAATGCAGCGAATATTATTTCAAAAAAATACTTTTGGGAAACAAATTGGAATTTAAATTGGTTTGATGATCAAACAAACGTACAGACAAGATGTCCTTTAACATTTCTATAAATGAAATGTTAGTATAACAAAATTGACTAACCAATTGAACAGAATACATGTTGTTGCATGATGAAACCTATTCTAGATATGTGCTAATTAATTTATTAGACAACGGACAACAAATTTCTATTGTACAATAAATTTGTTATCTTAATTATATTTCAAATGGTGGCTAAAGCTGCTTCCTTCATATCAAGCAAGGAATCTTCAAAGCACTTGGCAAGAAATTCTGGGTCAGGAATGATGTCTTTGGCCACAACTATTTGCATGTCAGCTCTCCCTGCATAACTCACCATATGCATTGCCACTGCCTAATTTTCACCATTTAAACCATAATTATATTATATTTTGACAAGAAATTTATAAAAATCAAAAGTGACATTCAATTTATGCCCTAAGAAAAGAGTGATCAAAGTTTAGAGGCAATACTTGTGGTAAGCTAGATGTGTTGGCTCTCATGAATGTGATGGGGTTGCCTTCTAGAGTAATCTCCTCTTTTGGTCCAATCACATTGGAGATTGTAAAAGTTGTATGACACAGAATTCTATAATTCAGCAAGTAAGCAACCTGCAAATCAATAACAAAAATTACTATAATACTGACACTACCTCGAAAGTTAACTCTTGAGATTGAAAAGTTAAAGTTAAATATAAATTTTACATTGAAATTCCACGCTTTCAACGTAGAATCCAAGTTACAAAACAACGGATGTTTCCATCAATGTATTTCAATTTCTTAATTTCTTAGATTTGATAGAAGTGGGTTTTTAACCTTTGATCCAAGCCAAGACATTACTAAATCTCCAATTCTATATGTGAAGTGAGCCTCTAATGTCTGCTTCTTCCTGTCTATCATAGTCTTGGCTCTTTTCACATATTGCAGAGGCTCCATTTTATGATGGTAATGAACAGGCAGGAGTAGAAATCCAAACTTGTTACCCCAACGAGATGCTGAATTGCTTTTCATCATTTCTTTCAAATCCTGATGCAATCACTAATTTTCAACAACAATTCAAAGAACAATGGCGAATTAGCCATGGTTAATTTGACTGACCTGTAATCCTGGTTGCTCCCTTAAATTAACCATGGACAAACCTGTTAGTTGTTGCCCTTCTCGCAGAGCTAACAAAAAAAATGATCCCAGGTTAGTAGATGTTTAACTACAATTCACAAGTAAAAAATTAAAAGTTTATCCGGATCTCGTCTGATCTAGACATGAAAATAAACATTACAATTTGGTGACCGGTGATCCAAGTATCTTGATAATCCAGCTGATATCACTCCAAACAGAACATCATTAATGGTCTACAATATTGTTGAAAAACCAAAAAAAATTAAAAAAATTAATATCATTAATCAGCAAGATTTTCTCATGTCATGATACCTGAGCAACACAAACATAGAAATGTAGAAATATTTCAAGCTTTTTATAAAATATTTTATTTTTAATATTGTTTTTATATGGGAGACAAATTGAAATAAAAATCAAAATTCAGTGAAAATGATAAACTGAAATTATATGACATTGTTAAAATTACCTAATTAAGTGTAGGGTTTAATGATAATTGATATAATTTACTTTCTGTTCATTATTAAAAAATGATATATATACTTGCTATTTGACTCTAGGTTTGAACTTCATGGAAATAAAATTTGACTAGGATTCATTCAATTCACTTTCACCCGCATGTTTGAATCTTTAATTAATATCTAATTCATAATTTGTGAATAGTAACTGAATAAAAGAAAGTGACTTTCATTAATTTTGTGAGTGGTTATCTTTATTATATATCTTGCAGTGTTATTTCGACATATCAGTTATTTCGACATATCTATCCTTTCAACGAATAAAAAAATTTGAACAACTTGCTTGAAGAATCTTTTATGCCTAATATTCGAATTTTAATACTGACCAATTCTTTATCGGACGGAGAAAAGTAAAACTTCCTAGAAACATACACTTCATTTTCAATGGATTGAAACGAAGTCGACGTCACCCGAGGAACCTAATACGACTCTTCGCATCGCGTGCATAATTTGAATTCTCTTCCTACGTTCTATGCTGTACTAGTACTTGGAAAGTGGGCAATCACAAAACCCTAATGGAAAAATACAAATTTCCCACCCAACCCACGCGCCGAACGAAACATGGAAATGACCACCATCTCTCCTAAATTTCCAAAAAAACAAAAAAGAAAATTATTTATTTATTTGCCTTATAATTATAACAATGAAAATTTTATTTTTTAATACATTAAATATTAGGGATCTTTTTTACGTACTCTCATATCTGAACTTCAAAATATTAAAACAAATTTAGGTATTTAATTATATTTTTTTATTATTTAATTATATATGGGATTTTCTCTCCAATATTTTTTTTTAACATTAAGAGTCTAAGACCACATGAGAAAAACATTTCATCGAGCATGCTAAATAAATAAACACAAATAAAAATATGTATCAACTATAAATAAACATATATTTCAAAATAAAAAACTTTAAGTAAACATACACATATAAATAATAGTAATTAAGTAATAGATAAACAGTTGAAAGTACTTTACCGCATTAGCAACGGCCTTTTTCACCGCCTTCATATCTTCAATCCTGAATTTAGCAGTAGCCACCTTTCTGGGCCACAGTTCCGTCCCGTCACCGCCGGAGATCACCGTTTTTCGATCACGAACAAACAAACACCTCAAAATAAATTCCAAACAGAAAACAAAGCTAAACAAAATCATTTTTAAAGCCGCCATCAAAGTCCTTATCCAATCCTTCCCTTTCCTTCCCTGCCAATCTCTCCGGCCAGCAGTAACTAAGGTGGCCACCGCCTCCGGATCATCCGCCTTTCTGCAACTCGCCAACAACATCGACATAAGAGAGATCCCATCACCAAGCGCGTGATGAATACGAAATACTAAGCACTTCTCTTTCTCCAAAAAATGAATTTCCCATAAAGGCTTGTCCAAGCTTAGTGGAGTACTAACGGCTAAATCAGCTATATAGTCATTAATTATTCTCTCGACGTCGTCGTCTGAGTAACCATCATTACTGGTGGCGGAAGCGGCAGTCTTAACAACTCTGATGTGGCGGTCGATGTCGACTTCCGTTCTTCTCCAGTGCTCTAATCCATTTTTGTCACGCACAAGGAGACTGCAAAATCTCGGGTGCTGAATCATGAGAGAGTTCTTTACGATGGTTTTTATGGTGTCGATGTCTCTGTGGTATTTGTAGCCAAGGGCACAGTGGATTATTGTGTCCATTTCCGGCCGGAGAAATAGGCGGCCAGCTGGAGTTATTGGCTCGTCGGAGAAGCTTAATTCCGGCGAAGCCATTTAAGAGAATGGGGCTGCTTTTTTCCAATAAAGCTCTGTAACTAGTCAAAGGGAGAATTAAGAATGCTGATAATGGTTTACGATTTATATGGTTGTTATTTTTTTTAAGTATATTAATACTAATTAATATTCAGGTGTATAATTTGGTCATAAATGGACATTTAGGTTTTATCTAAATTAGACCAGCGGTTTCAGCCCACTAGACTTCACCTCATAATTACAAGTAAGAAGATATTATTGATAATAATAATAATAATAATAATAAGTTTTTCATCAATATTTATATTAAAAATATATTTAATTATCTTATATTCTACTTTGATTTATAAAATAAAATTTTAATTTTAATGTTTATTATGTTTTATTTTATTGTATTTTGCTAAATGGCAATGGCGGCTGAATTTTGTATTTTTTTCTGATTTTTTCTCTAAATTTTTTTTATTTAACCTTGATTTTCCATATCGGGTTCCCAAAGCCCAAAGGGAATGTTTTTTTTTTTTTTTTTTTTTTTTTTTTTTCTGATTTTTTTCTCTAAATTTTTTTTTATTTAACCTTGATTTTCCATACGGGTTCCCAAAGCCCCAAAGGAATGTTTTTTTTTTTTTTTTTTTTTTTTTTTTTTTTTTTTTTTTTTTTTTTAATGTTAAAAAATATTTTGAAAAGTGAAGGCGATAACTTTCTATAATGAATAAACTGAAAGAGTCGGTTTATATAAAATTATTTAAACCACTCACCACACCTAAAAAGATGCAACAGACGTTTTCTCTATATAATAATAAAAAATGTAAAATAAATAATTCGTATTTCTTTTTGAGGGAAAATATAAATAAAAAATAAATTCATACTTGATGTTCAGTGTCGGTCTCCATTAATTTGATTAAAAAAAGCTCTAACATATATCGTCTTTTAGCCCAGTTGAACAATTTTAAAATCTTAACAAATTAATAATCACCGTTGTACCTTTTTTTTTTTTTTAATTTATTTTATTCATTTTCGGCTTTTCGGACATTTACCTTTTTTTTTTTTTAATTTATCATTTCGCTTTCGGACATTTGCTCTTAATCAAAGAGAAAAATCTGCTAAAAAAAATTAAAGAATTACCAAACTACTCTAAAGCTAAGTAGGATGTACTTATTTGGAATTACGTTGACCAAGATTAACAGATTAGTCCTAACTAATTATTTAATTATCTTTTACCCCTATATGTCTTTTGTGAATGCGTTATTTGTTCAATATGAGATTCTTAATACTTTCCTCTAATGCAACCAATACTACACATTTGGTTGATACTTGGAATTTAAAATGCTCATCCTAAAATTGAACTGAGCTTTACCAGTGAAATTGAAATTGAATGGACCTTGTTAGGATTGAACTTCCAAACTGAAATGTGGTGAAATACCGGTGAATTGAAAAAAAATTAAACTAGATCGGACCTGCTATGATACCACATTATAATTTGAATTAAAAAAAAAGTAGAGATGAATAATTTGATAAGAAGTTAAAACCCATGATTGCTCAATAAATGATCAACAATACCCTCATTTATCCTACATTTTTTCATCAGATTTGTTTCATATTTGTGATTGAGTCTATACATCAAGTGTACCAACAAAACCACAAAAATGGAGAATCCAAAGAAAAAATTATAAATTTCTACATTGAATGTAGACTTTGTTTACAAAGAAGAAGAAAGAAAATCTTAGGAGAGAGATAATAATAGAAGTAGTAAAGCGATAACATCTATTTCACATTATTATATAATATAACAATTCGATTCATTTACTCCCTCCTATTCTTTTTTATAGACATAATTAACTTTGCACAGGAATTAAAAAATTAATTTAATTGAATTTTTTTATCACATCTTTCTATTTTGCTCCCAACATTGCATTAATGCCAACTTTCTACTAATTAATGTCAACATAATAACCTAATCAAATATTTATATTTAATCCTCCCATTTTTTCAAAAAAAAAAAAAAGTGAGAAATAAAAGTTTATTTTTTATTTTAAAAATGTGAACATCTCATAAATAAAGTATCATGCAAATTTGTAAAAAACAGCATATTTCATAAAATAGTGCAATTTTTTGCAGCAAACCGCTGCCACTAGGAGAGAAAACATTCAGAAAATTTTACTAAACAATTTTTAGTGTTTGGCTTATATAATATATGCCCATTTTTTACCAATTTTTTTTTTTACAAAAGTAGTTTATGATAAAATATTCTTATACAGTGTCAAACCATGACACATGATAATTTTTCTATTCTTAATTAACGGAAAATACATTACAATATGTAAGTTTTTTTTTTTTTTTTTCCTAATTTTCAACGGAACAATTACATTACAATATGTAAGTTTTTTTTTATATTTTTTTTATCTTACTTAAACACGATGATAAGATTATGAGATAATTATTGTCGCTATAAAGTTTTTTTTTTTTTTTTTATCTTACTTAAACACGATGATAAGATTATGAGAAATATATGTCGCTATATAATAAAAGTGTGTCATAATTAGAAGATTTAAATACAAATGATGCAATAATAAATAAAGCAAAAAACCTAAAAGCCACATTCAATTTAGCTAAAAATGGAGAGGAAATATAATACAACAATGCATCGGCAATTCAATTATATTCATTTAAATTTTATTTATGAAATTTTATCTATATAAAAGAATCGGAACGAGTATCTTTTTTTCTCTAATATAGAGAAATTGTAATCTTGAAATTCTAATACTATGGGTTTGAGAAAAAATAGTATACATTTTCATCCTTTTAATATTTTTCTCCCCATTTCTAAACAAAAGGAAATCATTTCTTTTAATATTTTACTCACATATATTCTTTCCTTAAAAAAAAAAAAAGAAAAAAAGAAAAAAAGAAAAACTCTCCTTTCCAACAAGAGGTTAGTCTCGAAAATCCAAAAACATAAAATAACTTGGCGCAATTATTGAATGAGTTGCTGATGAAAAAAGGAAGAAAAAAAAAAAAAAGGGAAAGAAGAGGAAGCAATAACATCATATATATTTCTTAAACTTACCAAAAGCAGAATTGCTATAGCCATAGCATGAATTGAAAGTATCTTTTCTTTGATTTGAAAAGCCCTTTGATTATATGCGCAACGAACAACGACAAATACTTCAGTAATTAAGAAGCCAAACGATTAGAGAAATTGTTGGATAATAAGGGAAAAAAATTTCACCATCATGGCTATTGAGTTTGAAAATGGGAAACTAATTTTTTGATTTTCTTTCTATTTCTTTAATTTTATGATTATTGCAGAAGAGTTGTAACGAGAGAGAGATAGAGAGAGAGAGAGGAATTATTTTTGGCATAATGTCTCCTAATTTTTCTCACTTTCTCTCTCCTCTCTCTCCTAGCTACCACCTCATATCTCTCTCTTCATCTCTGTCTCTTCTAATCACCACCACCACAGTCTTTCTCCTGGAATTTCTCTCTGTCTCTTCCTTTCCATTATAAACTTCCTTCTTTTTCTCTTCAATCACGATTTTGATTCGCTTCTCTTTGCGTGTTCTTTAAAAAGATTCCTAAAGTTCACGTTTTTAACATATGCAGAGATTATTCAAGTTTCTAGGTATAACCGTCTGCTATTCAAATACTAAGATCACTGTATCGAAAAAGCTTTTGGAATTCTTATTGGTATGTATTTTAATCCTTTAACTTTGCTTTGGTTAATTTATCAGTTTCATGTTCATGCGATTCACTTACATTGTATTATTTTTTATTTGTATTTGTAAGTATCTAATTGTTTAAAATATTATGATAGAAATTTTAGAGCTTCCTTTGTCTTTTGGATTTTTTTCACATTTGCAGGTTTGTAGCGGGTGGGATAGAACCGTAGTGGTGGTTAAGAGAAATATAGATGAGAGAGACGTGAGGCAGCTAGATAGGAGAGAGAGTGAGAGAATTTAGGAGACCAGAATTATGCTCATATGGCTATTTTTTTTTTCACACCGGCAACAAGTCACTTGTATTTCACCGAAAAATAATTAAAAGGGATTTCGGGTTATAAAAATAAAAATTGAGATAGTTTTGAATGGCAAATTGAAGATAAAAGACCATAAAATGATATACCCGAAGTTGAAAATTAGCCTTATCATAGTTAAAGTAAAGTAACTTGCATCTCACAAAATCCAATACATAAATTCATGTCTATACTTTACATAAAAAAAATCTTTTGATACATTCAATTTTTACTTTGACTTATTAAATATTTAAATTTATAAAATTGTACTCATTAATTACTTCAACTTGCAAAAATTATTCTGTTGAATACTGAAATTTCTAAAATTAGATCAATTAAACACTTATTAGATAGTTAAATAATATGAAAATTATTGTTCTAGAGACTATACTAACCGCACATATATTGAATATCTTGCACATAAATGTCAAAAACACAAAAAAAAAGAAAAAAAAAAATGCCAAATGCATCAATATACTCATGTACTCTACGGAAAAAACCTTGTGGCACTCTCACTTTTGTGAGTGATTTATTATGTCCTTGAAGTTATAAATTTTGCTAACATTGTATCCTTTTATACACTGAAAATCTTTTTTTTTTTTTGATGTTTTTGGCATTTATATGCAAGATATTGACTTAATGTATAGTTAGTATAATATTTACAACAATAATTTTCACATTTTTTAACCATCTAAGAAGTGTTTAATTGATCTAATTTCAAAAAGTTCGAGCATTCAATAGAGTATTTAATTGATACAATATAAATTAAAGTGTTTAATAGATCAAAATAAAAGTTGAGATTGCTAGTTTTTTTATGTAAAATACATAAGTGAATTTATGCAGTAAGCCTCCCAATAAAATATTACTATTACTATAGAGAGGAATACAGTGTCAGCAAGATTTGTAACTTCAGGAGCATAATAGATCATTCACAAAGTATGAGTGCCACAAGGTTTTTTCTGTAAAATACATGAGTATATTTATGTATTTGGCCCAAAAGTAGTCAACTAATAACTTTATAATATTACATCAACAATAACTTGTTACAAATTACAAAATTAAAAAATTGATATTTTATTACATAAAAGTATTTTTCTTTAAAAGTAAAGAAGAATAATCAAGAATTGA